AGGCCCTCAGCCTGGATGTGAGGAAGAGTGCATGTTCCTTACTCTGCACAGCATCTCTCAGCATTGCCCACCAAGGACAGGTGGACCCCACAGCGTAAGGGAGCCCTCACCTCCGTGGGGTGGGGCTGCTGCTGAATCAAGGGGACCTGTCAGCCACAGGCCAGTGCCTGGAAGGGGCTGAGGCTCATCAGCCTCCCTCTGAGGCTCTCATCACTCTGTCCCAACCCCCTCTGCTTCTCTCTGGACACAGGAAATGGCCGAGGCCAGGACACCCGGGATGTACCATGGGCAGCCCCGCCTGACCCTGTAGAGGGCACCCTGTGGGCTGGCAGATACTGGAAATCCACCTTTAAGAATTCACTCCTTTGGTTTCTGACCTTATATACCTGGGGAAATGCAGATTCCTCTCCCCAGACAGCTTCAGCCCCATCAGCCTCTGATCGGCCTGAGCGAGTAGCCTCCTGAGGGCAGGTTTGGGGTTTGGGGGAGCAAAGACCTACCCAGTGATTGGTATTTAAGAGAAGGGGGAGAAGGAAAGGGGGTCCTGGTTCCCCGGAACCAGCTCCCTGTAGGTTTCTCCTAGGGCTGCCACTGGGTGTATTTCCAGGGACACAGCTTTGCCCGACAAGCCCCCTCACACCATGGCCAGGACACGTTCTGAGAATGCATGGGCTCTGCCAAGGAGAGGTCACTGCTTGAGGGCCCTCTGCCCGTCCAGACAGAGCTCTAGCTGAAGCAGAGGAGAGAACAGGGAGGCAGGAGGAGGAGTTAGAGCGGGAGGGGGAGTTAGATCGCTCCCCTCCGTGAGCTGCTCCAGCCTAGTCTCATCCAGAGCCCCACTGAGGGGGAGAGGAGGCCACGGCCGCCACAGTGCACAGTGAGGCATGGGAGGAAGAACCCAAATGAATAGTCTGTGCCCTGAGCTGACCCTCCCACACTGCCCCACCGGGGGTCTTGGCACAGCAGGGACACTGGGACCATCAGAGCCTTTCTCTGCTTTTCTGTCTCCTCTTCACCAAAGCCCACCCCTCCTGAGAAATTACAGAGCAAGGAGAGCTAGATGGCTTCAGTGAGCTCATTGTCCCCAAGACTTCTAAATAATCCAACCTCCCCCTGTTTGCAGCATGGGAAGTGTAACCAGAATTATTCATCCAGTCAATAAATATTTATTGAGTATCTACTATGTATCAGGCCCCAAAGACACATGGTAAAACGGATAGATAAGAAAACAAGCAAGGTAGTCCCACAGCCCTGGGGCTGGAGGTCAGAGAGCGGTTTTCCTTCCCGGTGTGCTGACTTGCTGTGTGATCCCAGGGCATGGAGGTCATGTGGTGATGCCCGCCTCTGCTGCCTTCCATCGCTACGCTGTGATGCCCACCCCATCTCCATGACTTGCCTGGCAAAGCCCTCTCCAAACGACAGTGCTGTGTTCATTCCTCCCGGCAGTTTCCATGACTACCTTTGCAAAATTGCCCCATTGGATCCAAGTAGGGTTGACGCTTGCCTGCCTGTGGGCAAGTCCCATCAGCGCTGGCCCTTGTCCAGAGCCATCATCCCAGGAGAGACACGGGGTACAGGAACGAGGACCATGTAGACTGGGACCCAGGGCCCTGGGGCTGACTTAGAAGTTCCTGCTTATTAAAGGATAAAGGTTTGCCTTGGCAGGCAATCGGAAACCCAAAATATCATAAAAGGGAAAAAGTTGCCGAGTGGCTAAGAGGTGCACCATGGGAGTGTGGCTGGGCTCAGCGCGAGGTGATCGCTGAGCAAACGGAGCGGGAGACGTATTTCAAAGGCTTCTCTCTGCTTCGTCTCCTCTCTCTGGGCCCCGTGCGGAAAGGGGAAATGGAAGCCAAATCCAGATTTGGGCACGTGGCTGCTTGGGCACCCTCCCCCACACCCACCCCCAGACAGTGGAGAAACTTTGATGTCTGGGCATGTGGCATTTGGGGACAGGAGACGCTGGGCATCCCAGCAAAGGCAGCTGCACGTTCCAGGCCTCCAGACGGGCCTCCCTGAGCCCCTTTGTGAGGAGAGATGAAAGCCACCGAGCCAGAGAGGGCAGGGTTTGCAGATGACGAAGCGTGGGCGCTCTGTGCTGCCACCTTGGCGACAGTTTGGATGGCAGACAAGCTCCGATGCCCAGGACCCTCGCGCTCTGCAGGCTTCAGGAGCCATGGAGGCCCACCTGCTTGTTCAGATGGGGAAACGGGCTCAGAGAGGGGAGCCTTGTTCAGGATCGCCCAGCAAGTCCTCGGCCAGGTCCTCGGCCTCCAGGCCGCTTCTCTCCTCCGTAGCTCCAGCCACCCCCGGCGGTGAGGGAATGTTTCTGACAGAGCAAGGGTCAAGGGCCTCTGTGTGACATGGCAGCCGCTAGTGTGTAGAACCTTCTAGAAGACTGGGAGACCGGTGTTCTGAGTGGTTTGGGATGCTGGGCTGGTGTCATGGGCCTGTGACCAGTGCATGTGCACAGGGCCCCAAACTCAGAGGGACCCAGGCTTGGGGATGAATGCTCTGCAGTCATTTTCTTGAAATTCTTAATAATTTTATCTTTGTAGTTGTGTTTGGTAACTAAAATGCAATGGGTCATTGGACCGTGAAGTGGGGGGCAGGAGGGGGGAATGCAGGGAAGCTGGGGCTTGGAGTCTCTTCTCACCCACAGTCCTGCCTTCTCCCACCCCCTGTATCTGGGGTCTGGAGCCACAGCTCCACAGGCTTCCCCTCCCCATCTCCACCCCCAGCTGCTACCAGCCCACCCTCCACCTGGGCACAGACACGCAGGCTCAGGATCAGGCCTGCACACCCAGAGCATTGGGAGGCGAGGGAGGGGCATGGTGGCAGCAGTCCCTCTGGGGCTGGCAGCATCAGGGCGCACTCAGTGGGGTGCATTACCTCGTGTACCCAGGGCATCCTGGCACAAGGGCTACAGTGCCCCTGGGGTTGCCCACCTGCTGAGGGTTGGGGAGGGGGCCGGTGGAAGGGGGAGATGCCTGCTTGATCTCCTGCCCCAGGCTTGGGGCACAGCGTGTTCATCCAGCCGCAGGGAGAAAAGGAACTGGATAGGAAAAGGGAACCCAACCGCTAGCCGCAAGTGCAAGTGCAAAGTGCCCCTCCTCTCCAGGCAGCGCCCAGGCCTGTGGAGTCTGCACTCCCCCTGGGAGAACCCCATTGGCCAGCCCATGTCTGGGGGACCCCTCTCTTCCAACTTATTGCTTCGGGCCTGGGCATGGCATTCTCTTAAGACAAGCAACAAAATACAATGCGTAACTTTGATGATTCACACACGTGTTAAATATTCCAATATTTGCCTTTAAAACTGGCATTGTCCAATATAAACATGAATAGTAAAACCCATGCTAATCATTTAAAATTTTGACTTGACTTTGAACGACACTAACTAGGAAATTTAAAACACCGCGGCAAGTTGAAAGAGAGGGAGACAGACAGACTG